AATATATATTTTTGAAAGCATTCTTACTTTACAGCATTTTTTCACACCTGCCTAAAAGTTTTGCACAGTACTGTATCTGTTGATGGATGATTTGTCTGAATGCCAAGCTTCCAGGAATTCCCTAACATTTTTGGATTTAGCTTGGTCTAGGATGCTCACAGTTTCCCAGTGGAAACTGTGGTTGAGTCTGTCCATGTGTTGTGAGGTCAAGGAGTTTTCATCATGTCTGCTAGTTGGTGTTGATGGATGCGTTCTGTTAGTCTTCTGCCTGTTTCTCCTACATAGTGACTCTTACAATCCTTACACTATGTTGTAGATGAGTCCTGTTTTTTCTTCTTGGGCTACTGGGTCTTTTGGTTTACTTTGGTTTACTTTTGGCTCCCACTTGTTCTGACTCCTCACATTCTTATGGCTCAGTGGTTGGCTTTGAGAAAAATCAGACGTTCTTAAGGTTTTGCTTCTTATTGGAGAAAGACAAAGTTATTCTGCCTTTCAGCGTTTGTTGTTGGTTCCCACTCTTAGATATAAGATTGTTGCATAGCTAGGTTTGCCTCTAGACTTAAAACTTATCTCTGTAGTTTCTGAAGGGATTCTGATCTCAAGGTATTGATATATCCCTTTTAATAATGTGGAAGAACTAAAAATTAGATACCTCAATTTCTTACAACAGTTTGATTGAACAGTTTTATTGTCAAAGAAAGTACTTGACAAGGCCTTGATTAAAAATAGTTGTGGTCACCTGAAGTCACATTCATGAGTTGAGCTGCTGGTTATTCATTCCTGATTTTAAAAACTTCAAGATCTTATTTGCCTCTTGATATTTTACCAATCAGATTTTTAAAAATCACTCAATCTAGAAAGCATTTTTCCACATAGTGTTTCCTAGGTAATAGCCAAAACAAATCATTATTTTGCTAATATGCGGCAGCTTTCTTGATCAAGCATAATTTAGATTTTTATTAATGGACCAACTGTACATGTATTACTGGATACTAGAAAACAGAAGCATTGAAAGAGTCATAAGTAGTTGTACAGATTTAGAAAACCTGGAATTTCATGATTGACCAGTGGTCAGTCTGGAAAAGAGGAGATCCTATCCTTTTGGAGGGGAATTTAATGAGAGGGTTTTTAATGGAAGGTTTTTCTCTTCCATTGGACAATGTCAAAAGCCACTTTCATCCTGTGAGAGAACATGATATAGTAGACGTGCTCAGAAGGGACATTTACAAATAATAAATTCTTTCTGCTTGTTTGTAAAATATTTTTCTCATCTTCCTATATTACTCTCCTATATTGTCTTAATATTCTTTCTCTGATATACAGTCACAGCTCTTTCTCCTACCTTCTCATGGCTCCTTATGAACTTTCTCAGTTGCATTCCCCTTGATATTGTGTTTGTTTTTATTTTCATTTTGCTTTCTATAAATCCCTAGCAGGTATTCTATCAACTTATATTTTCCCACATTTTACACATATCTCCTTATTTTCAACTAAATACCATCCATATAGTTTTGAATGAGATTTCTGGCATCATTAATGTCTTGTCTCGAAACGTTCAATATGTTGTGGAATTGTTGACTCGTGGCCAAATTAGTTGTATGTCACCATAAGGTATTTTGCCTATTATTTGTGTAAAAGCAGTCATCAAGACTGCAGGTTACAAAGCATGGGATGTGAGGCAGAAATAGCTGTCTCTTAACTCGCAATCACTTTCCCCAAGATTTTTCTTTTGTCTTATTTTGTTTTGCCCTGCAAGGGAAAAGATACTGCAAACACAGTCCTTACCTTATTTACTGAACATGGAAAGAATATTTGTGAGTCCCATCATGGATTATAAATTGACAAGCTTCCCATAATAGCCCAAAGGAAAGATCAGCTTCACTGGCAATGTGAAACTGGCAGTGCCAATTAGTTATGTCAGTGCTTTTCAATCCTTAGGATGTTAAATTATTTATTTTCTGACTTCCAGCCTGTGATATGAATGTTCACAAACAGTGTGTAATAAATGTCCCAAGTCTTTGTGGAATGGATCACACAGAAAAAAGAGGGAGGATTTATTTGAAGGCCGAAGTGACTGGTGACAAGCTGGAAGTCACAGGTAAGGAAAGCTGCTTGGATGTAATGTACCTCATTTAGTGATACTTGCTGCTTTTATTCATTTATATTGAATAGCTTATCAGGCAATAAGCATGAAAAATGGATTATGTATGTTCAGTAAAATGTCAGCTCCTGGCTGGAACAGAGGATTATGTATTCCCCTGAACTGGAGGACATAATAGGCTTCTTAGTATCTGTGGCTGGAAAGTGGGGATAGAACATGACATGGTGTTCTCAAATCCTGATTTTGGGCTTCCAGCAAGGAAGAGAATGTGCCTTTGGCCAGATTCAGCACAGTGCTTCCTGGCTTTGCAATAATACTAAGGAAAAAGATCCTGAAATAGTAGTGGATTACAAACTGAATAGAAGTCAGCAATGTGATGCGGCTGCAAAATAGGCAAATACAATTCTAGGCTGCATCAACAGAAATATAGTTTCCAGATCATGGGAAATAATTTTTTTCACCTTAGTCTGCATTGATGCATTGTATCCAACTCTGGGCACTGGACTTTCAGAAAGCGGTGGAGAAATAGGAATACATTCAGAGAAGGGCAGTGAGAATGATCAAGCAATTATAGACTAAGTCCTAAGAGGCAAATGTGAAGGAAGTTGGTACTTTAGCTTTGGAGAAAAGAAAACTGGGCAGGGGTGTGGTAGCATATTTCAGGTGTCAGCTATCCCAGAAGAGTAGGTCAGAATCTCTCCTTTATTTTTCCAGAGTACAGAAAATAAACAGTCTATTTAAGTTGTTTTAAAATTGGAAGCTAGGAAACAACTTCCTAACAGTAACATGAGTTTTAACTGTGGAATTAACTTACCTGAAAAGCTGATGGGCTGTCCTTTACCGAATGTAATCACTGGAAGTAGACAACCATCTGTTAGGAATGCTTTTGCTTGGGTTATACTGAGTGGAGAGTTGGAGTCGATGTCCTAAATGACTCCTTCCCGCTTCATGATTCTATCTTCATCTAAAACTACAAAAATAGAAAACTAAACAAGAAAGCTAGATGTTTGTTTTCTTTGGCAATTTTTTTAAAAATAAGTTTTAAATAGATACATTTCAATCATGTTGCGTTGCAATTGACGAAATGCAGACAGGTCAGTCCTACTGTTCGGGGTAGCTTGGTTTCCTTTCAGCTTCAGTGACACTTTTGAAGCAGCAGCCCATGAAAATGAAAGCTGAGCTTTCTGCAGACTCTTTTTTTCAAATTAGGATAGGCAAAGTAATATTAAGCCTATTTTTATTCATAGGCTTTTGGCAATAGAATTGACACTGAATTAGCAGGCCGCTATCTGTAGTATTTCTAGCATTTTCTGTTACAAGGTTATTATGCTTATGGCAAAAGTTTCCACAAGAATAAAATCAGATTTTATTTTTTTTACTGTGTGCATGAGAGAGACAGTTTGATGGTTTAATTCACATCCAACATAGTGGTTCTTTATGTGACCATGAAATGTTAATACCTAATCCTTCTCTCCATGTCTTTGCTGCTTCCTGCATCCTAGAAAAGCTTCCCACTATACCAGTGTTTCTCAACCTTGGGAACTTTAAGATTGTGGACTTCAACTCCCAGAATTCCCCAGCCAGCCATGAAGTCCACACATCTTAAAGTTCCCAAGGTTGAGACACACTGCACTATACTGTTCCCTAAATAAAGCTTATATACAGTAGTCTGCTTCTTCATTCATTTAGTCCTCATGAGTGTTAAGTTATTTCTTTTTCAGTTGAGTTTTAAGTTTAAGGTTTACCATGGACTCCTTGATACTTCATTATTTGTTAAACTTAGAAATACAACTTCTGTTACTAATCATTTGTACCAACTCTTTTGCCTGGGCCAGAAGTTTGCATCATGGAGGGCTCTGAGTCACATCGTGCACACCATATCACCGTAGTGCACACAGCAATCAGAACCCCAGATAACATAAGACAGGAGAGAACTGGGTGAGGCAGTCCATCATAAGAAAACCGGCTGGCCTGATATTTCCAGAGACCTACCAGTGATGGATACTGTTTCCCTTATTCTCATACCCCTGGATAGCCAAGGGAGAGAAAAATTATGGGGGAGCTCTCCACACAACTCGAGGTGATATTCTTAGCCTGGGAAGATGTAGGAGTGTCAGTGTTCTGAATCATCTTCCGGAATGCAATATTGAGCTATTGCTGATCTTAGGGTTTAATTTAGTGTTACTCAGGGCAGAATTCTGTAGGAGGCTGAATCACACTTCCAATTACTCTTAAAATGCATTGTGCTAAATAAATAAATAAAGTAGGCCTTACTTTGCCAAATGCCCTGAAGGTAGAAGAGGTAGTTAAGTTGATACAAAACTGACAGTCACATAAGCCTTGAAGTACTGACGGAATTACTATCCACCTCCACTCGGCTGCTAGTACTTTATCTTTTCTTTATTGTATCCTCCTCCTCCTCCTCCTCCTCCTCCTCCTCCTTCTGTCTCATAATTAACTCTTTGATTTTTCATACTAAAAGAGAACACATGGCTCGCTTTTATAGCCTTTTATATCCATAGCAAATTGGAGGAAAAGGGTGGGGTTTTTTAGTCAATTGGGAGCAGTTGACTATTAGCAGTACTGAGATATGTCCTCCCTTCTTCTGTGATTCTTCACCATCATCTCTGATGGGGGCGTCTGGAAGAGCAGCACTTCTTGGAGGGCACCTGACCTTGTTTTCTTTGGTTTTGGCTGTCGTGCAGTTCTTTTTGGGACGTTCTGGAGAAAGGGCTGCTCTTTTCTTCCCAAATGGCAGCCTCGGTCACAATTTCACCTGGGGAAATTACACAGCAACAGTGACAGTGGCCCTTTTTGCAGCATTGTGACAGTGGGGTGGGTTAGTAGGGCTACTACTCTTTCCACTGCTATGAACATCCATTTCTCCTCCAGTTTTCTGCCCTTTCGATGGAAAAGAGATGTAGGGATTGTAGTGGATACCTTAATAACAATGTTGGCAGAGTGACCCTGTTCATACAATATACTAAAATGGGTTGGGTGGGGCACAGGGTTAATACATTGTGCAAACTTTAAAATCCAGCTAACTGACCTATCCAATTAATTTTGAGGTATTCCTTTCAGCTTCCAGTGTGAGTGAGCTGGAAGGCACGTTAACAATGTCATGCAAACTACTTACTGGAGGGTTAGCAGTCTCTCCATCCCTGATCAAGATAATGTCCTGGAGAAGCCTCTTAAAATGGGTCTGTTTCTGATTTTACCCCTCCCCTCTCCTTGGCCCTTAAAATCATGTATGGTATGGATAAAGCAGGTGGAGATTTTCTCCTTCCTGTAAAATGGGACCCAATAGATGAAGCTAAATGAGGGGAGGGGAGGGGAGGGGAGGGGAGAGTATTTTTACACAGTGCCTGCTGAACTATGGAATTCACTGTCAGCATGCAATAGCTATTTGCTTGAATGTTTTTGACAAATTCTTGTTTGAGTAAGTTTGTCAGTGGCTACTAATCATGATAGTTTTATGCTACTTGAGGGAACAGCAATGGGAGGAAGCAATTACTTTCATATCTTGCTTGTGGTACTTCCACACATATCTTGTGGAAAAATGATCTGCGCTAAATAAGTTTCTGTCAAATCCAGCAAGACTGGGTTTATGTCATACAAAATTGCTATTGTTTTTAATTCTAGCATTTAGTCCTAGTACATAAAACAAAGTCTGGCATTTGTAACTTATCATACTGAAAATTCAATACAATTTTCCCCCTAATAATTGGTGTGTCTGTAGCTAAGAGAACTCCAATTATTAAAACAGTACTTCATATTTCATTAGAGTAATTCACCAAACATGTACAATTCATTAAAGTAATCTCAGAGGAAAAGTTAGTATTTAACCATTAAAAAAAAGCTGAGATGTTTTAGTCACAAAGTAAGACAGCTCTGTGTATGAGATACACTGGGAAGACTGAGAGAATTCTGTTGTCACTTCACATGTTAAATAGACTTGGATTTGAGAAGAGGATACTTTCAGGTGGGCAGGAACTTCTATCCATGCTTGGAGAACTACAGTTACTACAGATTACAAAGCAAGGAACAATGTCATTTTTAAAAAATAGAAGACCACCTAATTTAATTCATGGCATGTATTGCACTATGCACCCTTGCCAGTTTTATTCTCTTCAGTGCAAAGCAGTTAGGCCTGGGCTTTACAGGTAGTTCTCAGTTAACTATGGTAATTGGGACCAGAATTTCCATCACTAAACAATGTGGTTGTAAAATGCAACATCACCTGACAACGTAGCTTAGCAATGGCAATCCTGGCATTCCCTGTTGCCTTTGTTAAGCAGAGATTGCGGGTCGTTAAGCGAGTCCCAGGTGGCTTGCAAGCAGGCTGGCAGGTAAGTGGCTGCTGCTAGGTGGGGGAGGGTGCATGGGTGGCTGGAGAGGTGCGGCGTGAGCACAGTGGCGCCAGGGGGTGTCTGCTGCCGAGTGGGGGAGGTGCGAGTAACTTATCGGAGCGGCTTGCAACGTTCCCTGCTGGCCTCCCCATTGTCTTTGCTTGTGGTTGCAAATGGTGATCACATGACCATGGGATGCTGCAACTGTCATTAAGTGTGAGCCAGATAGCAGTCATGTGACTACGGGGGTGCTGGGATGGCCAGAACTTCAAGGACTGGTTTTAAGTACTGCTTGTTCAGCGTGGTTGTAACTTTGAATGGTTGCTGAACAAGTGGTTGTTAAACGAGGACTACCTGCAGTTGGTTCCAGATGGTAGGTACAACTGATGCAAATGTCAGCCAACCATTAAGAATACCTATCCTGTCCATTCCTTTTCTTAAATGTGTCAGATAAATAAACACACATACACACACACACACACACTGTACCACAATGCAAGAGAGAGCCTTCAGAGCCAGAGATGGGCAGCAGATAGCTCTCCAGATGATGGACTGCAACCTGTTATTTGTTTTAGAAAGAAGAATACTCTTCAGGATATTAAACTCTTTTTTTTTTTTTTTGGTTACACTGGATTAATGTTTTAAAGC